ATATTGCTACAGTATAACAACCAGTGTACTCTCACGCGATTCCCTTCCACCATTCCAAGAATTGAATAACATTGTCGGTACTTTAGCAGAGTACCTTCTATTCTGATGAAGCAACTTTGGCAAAACCTGCTCTCCGTTCAATCAACATCAAACACCAAATACGTCACAATGCATTTTTGACTCAGGCGCTCGTTAATTTTTGGGCACATTGAGTTATTGATATAATCTTGAACTTGAAGCTTGTTTATTCGTCTTGCTCTCAAAGAAAGAATATCCATTTATCTTGAATACAAATCGTGGTACTTTTGATTGAAGGAGGTGGGGGTCGCTGGGTTTGAGAGGTTAAAATTAGAGAGAAAATGCCGGCCAAAATTTGGTTTTCTCCATAACTAGAGAGTGTGGGAACTGGAAATTTATATTTTTTGTTTCTTTAATCAACGTTTTTCAGTAAAATCCACGCACAAATGTGTATTAAATGGAAATAAAAGTTTTTGAGTAAAAAAATCAACAACAAAAATTCCATAAAAATGGTCAAACGGGTGTAAAAAAGTCAGTTTCTTAAACTTGATTATTTTGACGAGGGCCTTAAATTTCACCATCCTTCTTTTAAAAAAGACATAATATATGGTGGGTTTGTGTGTGTTTGTGTGTGTGTGTGTGTGTGTGTGTGTGTGTGTGTGTGTGTGTGTGTGTGTGTGTGTCGTTTAACGTTGAGGTTTCTTTTTCCCTGGAGAAGCTGCACGTCAATTTTATTAAGGGAAACAACCATGGAGTTCCTTGCGAACAGGACAAAAAACATGGTTGTGTACCCTTAGCAAAGCGTAAAGAACTGCCTCTTTCACATAATCAATTAAAATCTATTATTAACACGCGTTACCGGCATCTGGCATGACTTTGTAACAACAAAGTAATATTATTATTATTGATTTTCCGTGCTGCTTCGTGTTATACAGAACTGATAATACGACTTATCTGTTGTCGTACAGGCGTCTGTGGTGTCACGGAGTTTTGCCTTGGCACGCAGAAGTTCGATTCCCGTGTGGGGCGGGGGGTGGAAGGGGAGGGGGGGATTTACTATCTCCGTCTGATTGTTGGGGCACTGTATCCCTCTCAGCCTGAGGTGGCTTTTAGAGACAGGGTAGAAGCAGCCCGCCTCCTGTATTACATAGTACATGTATTATGTTAGTGATAGGAAGAAACTTCTGTTATTACAATCGCAATTGAACTTAAATTCACACAAGCACCGAAATATTTGTGTGCATAAACCGTGTTAGTTAGATTATGGACATAATCATCTATCGGTGAGGAACAGAGGTCACAAAACTGCTATAGTTTGGGGTGGTCTGGCTGGAATGGACGAAACACCTCTTGTGAGAATCAACGCAAGACTTCTTTTAGAGGACTACATCGTGCTGGTGCTGGGAAGGTCAAATCTTATCTTTATTTTCATCATGGTGTCATTCAAGTAGACGCTTTTATGCATGACAAAGCACCTTCTCATAAAACAAAAGCCACCAGACAATTTTTGGAAAACAAAGTCATACCAACGATGTTATGGTCACCAGTTAATAGCTCCGTTATGACACCTATGGATGCGCCAAGTCCTATGAAACAGTAGCTGCAGAAACACGACTTTGCTCCCAATTCAGAAGCTTTGTTCGCAACTCTTTATTACATTTAGAGTGGAATGACAGATAAATATTATGTCCAGAATTTTACTCTGTCCATGTCCCAAATGGTTCGTACTCTACACAACACCATGCCTCCTAAACAAACTATATGTTTGTTGTTCATCTCCTGTGTAAGACTCAAGAGACTTCACAATAAACCAATTGGACAGCTCACATAGGCTTTTCTGTACAGTAACTCCTTTCTGTTTTGTTTTTCTCAGCCAGGGCATGATTTAGAGATCAAGCTTGACTTGTACGGGTTTAATCCCCGAGACAGGAGAGGACGGCCCTCGCAGTCCGGATCCACGCACGGCTTCCATCTTCACGAGTTTGGTGACTACAGCAATGGCTGTAACTCTTTCGGGGGTCATTACAACCCGCACAAGGTGTTACATGGAGGGCCAGAGAGCCACCAGAGGTGATGGATAGATGGATGGCAGGATGGATGGATGAATGGATGGATGGAAGGACGTGTGGGTGGAATGATGGTTGGGTAGAGTGGTGAATGAATGGATTGATGGATAGATGGATGGATGGATGGATGGATGGATGGATGGATGAAATGATGGTTGGGTAGAGTGGTGGATGAATGGATGATTGGAAGGGTGGATGGATGGATGGATGGATGGATGGATGGATGGATTAGCGGGTGCGTGAGTAGATTAACGGATGGATGGGTGGATGGATAGATGGATGGATGGATGGATGGATGGATGGATGGATGAACAAACGATGGGATGAATGATGGATGAAAGAATAGGTAAATGGATGGATGGATGAACGAATATGTAAATCAATGAATGGATGAACGATTTGATAACTGGATAATTGATGCATGAATACGAGGATGTATAGAAGATCAGATTAAGGATGTTGGAAGCGTAGATACATCGATGGACAGATGTATGGGTTAAGGAACGTATGGATAAGTACAATGGGTGTGTGTATGTGTGTGTATGTGTGTGTGTGTGTGTGGGGGGGGGTGTGATGACAACCACAAGGGGATGCAGATAGTTGATGGAGTGATCAATTGGTAGGTAAATGGCTCAAGGGGTCAGTTAATTAACGGATAAATTGATTCTTGAGTGAAAAGAGGGCTCAATTTATACATGAGTGGGTTAGTGAAAACGTGCACACAAAAAAGAAAGAATGAATAAATGAATGAATGAATGAATGAATGAATGAATGAATGAATGAATGAATGAATGAATGAATGAGCGTATGGAGTCTATCCGACTGATGAGCCTCCAAGGAACTTCAGCCAGATGTGCTTTGTGAATGCAAATAATTAGGATGAGAGCATTGAGGATGATTTATTTGTGACTAGTCAGACAATTCGGTACAAGGGGTTGGGGTTGGGGTTGGGGTTGGGGGTTGGAGGGGATAACTGCCGTATAATATGAACCACTTTCAATAAGCAAAAGTAAAAGTGCCATAAATCCTAAGCTAGCACACTCGCTTGCCCCCTCCTGACCTCAGAATAATCTGAGATCCTTGTTTGTCTTTATTGTTTCTGTCTTGACAGGCATGTTGGAGACTGGGGAAACATTGAGGCTGATCGTAGAGGTGTGGCTAAGGCTTCCATGACAGTGACGGAGTCCACTCTGTTTGGCCCTTACTCCCTCGTTGGAAGAGGTGTCGTGGTGAGTACATGATGATAAGATAAGATAAGATAAGATAAGATAAGATAAGATAAGATACATTTTTGTTTTCCAGATCCTGGCGCATTGGTTTGGTGTTTCACCACGTACACACATACACACACACTCGCACACACACACACACACACACATACACACGCACAAACATGCACACAAACGCAGGCTTACAGTCACATGCATAATATAAATGAACAGTAATATAAACAATGCTAATCTTAAGCTAGATACATACTCAATGTTATTCTGATGCATGCTCTAAAGCCATATGAATACTTGTAACAAGGTGGCTAAGATGGAAAAATTTTGATGGATGGTGGTAAAAATGACCTTCTGTATCTTTCTTTGTTGCAGATCAGAAGTCCTGGTCTTTTACTTCTGACTGATGTTTTTATTTTAGGGAACAAGGGATGTTTATTGTCTAAAAAGATGGAATTAATTTTTTGTAGTGCAAACTGTTATGAACAATTCATCCAAGTAAGAGAATGTAGATTTTGAAATTTTGCATGCTTTCCGTATTTATCGATTTAATTTTTCTTTATCTTGTTGTCTCCTGTTCCCTGCCTATGCTGTTATACAGAAATTGATCATACTTTCTATGGTTGAATGATAGAATATGGACATCAATGTTTTATCAACTTTAAAATACATGAGCTTCCTTAGAAAAAATAGTCTTTTGTTCACTTTTTTATACAGGGGAGAAGTGTGGTGCTGACGTGGCGTGGTGTGGCGTGGTGTGGCGTGGTGTGGTATGGTGAGGTGTGGTACGGTATGGTATGGTGTGGCGTTGCCCAATATGACATTACATGATTTGGTTTCGTACCTAAAACAGGTCGAAATGGGCTTTTAACTTAAATAAAATTCTCCTCCATTCAGGTCCACGACGGTCCAGACGACCACGGCGAGGGTGATAGTGAGGCTAGTAAGGCGTCTGGTAACGCTGGAGGTCGGATTGCCTGTTGTATCATCGGCTGGACCGGAGGAATGTGGTGAACAGGTTGAAGACAGGCCAATTAGAAAAAAGCTAACTATAAATAGCCTGATTTTTAATCGTCCAACTATTAATATCTTTACTGTGCGCATGCATGTGGGGAGGTTTCTAAAGTAAGTTACTTGGGGTTTCAAACCGCGGGCTGAATGAAAAGGGCTGTCGATTCAATGCAGTGTCTAGGACAGAGCTGTTAAAGTACTTTTAAAAAGGTACTTAAGTACAAATTTAAGTACAATCTAAAACGTGTACTTAAGTACAGTAAAAGTGCTTTCCTGTAAAATGTACGTGAGTACAAGTACTTTTTAAAAAAGTACTTATGGGTACATTTGGAGTACTTTCTGCTAAAATGCTAAAACACTTCAGTGCTAAAGCAAAACATCATATTGAATAACATATCCAGTATATTTGACAAATTAGGCCATTTATTACTAATAATGTAAACAGTATACAAAGCATTTGAATATACTCACTGAACGTAGGTGGAAATGGTCCGTGAAATTGAAAAAAAAAGCAAACAAACAGACGCAACGAGTGAGTAAGTGATATTATCAATAGAACTTGTTTAAGCAAGACAATATGATCTAATGTAAGTCAGTCCTTGAGGTCGGAAAGTAGGAAAAGTATCCAAATTGGAAAATGTAGAGCCAACGTTGCTCTTAAGAAAATATAAAATTGATGAAAATGGCCAGCAAAAAAACAAACAAACGGAAACGTGTATTGAATTCTTCAAAAAACAAATCCTCAAGGAATCAAGATAGCCTTAAGCACAAACAACAACAAAAAGTTAAAAAGAAATTTAGATAGCCTAAAAAATTGTTAGATTGATATACCTTGAGAACTCAGTTTCAGTTTCAATTGATTATAATAGTGGTAAGACAGATTTTGGTCACACTGTGTAGTCCACGGCGCCCACAGCAAACCAAATGTAATTTACTAGCTCTGTCTGTCTGTCCATCTGTCTGTCTGTCTGTCTGTCTGTCTGTCTGTCTGTCTGTCTGTCTGTCTGTCTATCTGTCTGTCTCTCTGTCTGTCTGTGTGTCTGTCTTTCTCTTTGTTTTTCTCTATCTCTCTCTGTCTTTGCCTCTGTCTCTGTCTCTCTCTCTGTCTCTCTGTCTCTCTGTCTCTCTGTCTTTCTCTCTCTCTGTCTCTCTCTCTCTCTCTGTCTCTCTCTCTCTCTCCCTCTCCTTCTCTCTCCCTCTCCTTCTCTCAGTCACCCACCGTATGCCCCCCCCCCTTTCCCGCCTCTTAAATAATCCCACAACGTGGGAAGATGTGTTAAAACTACGATCTACCATTTCTCTATTTTACGTCTACACTGTTTAAAATAAGCTATCTTGTTGCTACTTCATTTGCTGTATGATGTACAGTTGATCCGTTTTTTCAGAAAGGTATTGCTGTTGGTGCTCCGTTAGGTCAGTTGATTTCCTGCTGGACTACGGAGAAGATGGCTCTGGTTTGAATACCTTACGGGGCCTTCTGAACTTGCGTTGTTTTTGGGAGTGGTTACGGCTAACCACTTATTTGGCTTGGCACTGGGGGAGATGGACGTTAAATTCGAAGGCCCCGCCTCTTATGTAACCTTACAGTGTTGAAAAGGGAGTTACATCCATACCACGTTGACATTTTGTCGTTTTGTCATTAACTGCGATCGGATCATTATAATCATGCCATGCTCTGCTTGACCTTTCGTATGTTTACCACTTCTAACAAAATAAAAAATATATCTACAAAACATAAATCATTTGTTTGTTTGTCTTACTAAAGTTAGTAATACGTGTTTCCTTTTCAAAAAATTGTCATGCAATAATAATAACGATAATGACTGTAAAGTAATACTGACGATGACAAGGTTGTTTTTTATTATCAGTATCATTATCCTTTATTGTTGTTATAATTATATTAACAATAATTAATTAATAGGCTGTTTCAATCCCTACACAGGAAGGAACACGTTCTAAGAGTTGGAAATGTTTAGTGTTATGTTCTTTCAATTACACATAATTTTAAAAGGTAAAATCCCTCCAAAGTAGAAAAACTCCAACGCCAACCTGCAATATCAAAATCAATGATACCACCCTCAAGCAAGTATAACAATTTATATATTTGGGGACCATTATAATCATCAGATGGGAGATGTCATACCGAAATTAAAAGCCACATTTGCCAAGCAAAAGCAACCTTCCACAAAATGAAACAGATACAAATATCAATCTGTCACTGGAAACAAGAAAAAGAGTACTGAAAAGTTATATCGAGCCAATCATATTATACGGGTGCGAAGCATGGACAATTAATAGACAGCTGGAAAGAACAATTGAGGCCACAGAGTTGTGATTCATGAGACACATGCTGCGTATCCAATGGACAGCTAGAAAAACAAATGAAGAAGTCTTGGCTGAAGCAAATTACAAACGACAGCTTACGACGAATATACGAAAACGACAGGCACATTTCATTGGACATACAATGTGGAAAAAAACATTGGAGAATATTGTAACAACAGGGAAGTTTGATGGAAAAAGAGGCAGAGGCAGACTGAGGGAAAAGATACTGGACAAGTTAACAACATGGGTGGGAGCAGCAATAACAACAGACACCATTGTTGCAGCGCAAGACAGATGGAAGTGGAGGTCCATGATCGCTCACACCAGTCGGCAAGGCACCGGGTGATGATGAATATCCCTCCCAAGTCGCTACCAGTTGGTTTGGGTATCAATATAATGCTGAGCTATGTTGCTAATGACACATCAGCTTCAGTGTCAGGATTTAGCGCTCATCGACACATCACTACCTTAGAATTACAAACGTTCTATCTGAAAGTTTCCCCCATTTGAGTTACTAAGACCATGAGGTCGGAAACCAAATGTTCTTTGTACTCTATCAAAATCGTAAGATTATTCGGAGTCATTATCAAGATATTCAGTGAATTGCATTCGAGAAAGCTTGACATGTTGTGAAACTAAAAACTTTTCACGTCAAATTTCTCAAAAGTGGGTACTGAGCAGATAGAGCTTTGCACGTCTGAGGTAGCGACATGTCATTGTTAGCCAAAGAGTGCGTGTGGGTGGAAAAGGGGGTAGGGTAGAAAGAAATAGATCCGTTTATCGTGAGTCATTTGACAGCAACGTGAATTGACAACACGTAGGTTGTATTTCTCAATGGAATTCTAACGTTGAATGGCTTCCTACCATGCAACTCAAACCTCTCAGATGTCGGTGTGTAATGAGGTCAAGACACACTTAGACGAGTGGTATATGATGGCTTGTACCCCTCCCCCTTCCCTTAACACACATGATGGTTTTACTCTTGGAGTAACTATATAGGGAGAGGCCCTAACGTTGCGTCCCCCGCTCAACAGTTCCAACCAAGTTGAAGCCGAAAGGGCGGAGCTTATCGGGCCTGCCGCCATCTTTGTAAGTTCAAAACAAAGCAGCGTACGCAGCGTAATCTCCTTTCAAAACAAGCTGCTCGGGCTCCATTGTCTCTCGAAATTTCTTTGTCAATGTTAATTACAGCATTATAAGCACTCACGTACAGTAGTAATATAATAAGGATGTTAAGAAATCTTACTTGCATCAAATTATCAGCTCATTTAGTCGAATATTTACAGTAATACGTGTACTATGTATACACATTGTGATGGTAAGATATTCTTTTAAAACAGGTTTTAGAGACGAAATTGGGATAATAAGGATCAAAACAAAATCATAAACGGGATGATAACATTTGCTGAGTTTTTGGTAGTCGAACTTCATTATTTTTACAAGAACGAAGACTTCTTGATAGTAACAATATAATAAGGACAGTAAGAAATCTTACTTGCATCAAATTACCAGCTCACTCAGTCGAACATTTGGTAATACATGTACTATGTATACACATTGTGACGGTAAGATTTAAAAAAACTTGTTTTAGAGAAGAAATTGGGATAATAAGGATCAAAACAAAAATATAAACGGGATAACAAAATTTGCAGACTTTCCGGTCATAGAACTTCATCAGTGCAAAATGATGTCATCACTGACATTATTTTTACAAAAACGTAGTCTTCTTGACTTAAACTTACAACAAAATATATTTCTAACAAAATTGAAAATGATTACACAAAAGATGGTAGTGAGGGTGGGATGGGATGGGCAAAGAATGAGGAAGGAGAGGGCAAGGCAGATAAGAGTGAAGTATGATGGTAGAAATTACCCCCCCCCCCTACACACACAAAAAAAGAATAAAACAGCTCCCCCCCCCCCCCCAAATAAACCGAGGAGGGAGGGGCACCTTTAAAACACCCAGACACTTTATCTAAATTTTTAAAAATACTGTTAAGTGTATTGAAGAATTAATAGAAAATGTGAAATGATAGGCTTATAATAAGATTTTCAAAACAGATTGCACTAATTTGTGACATTTCTCTCTTGACAATGTCACACCCCCTGCACAGACAAACGACACATGGCATCGAAAATTTTATTCACATACCAAACACACTTCAATGACATTCTTTGAAGGTACTGTCGAACCTCCGATGAGACTTCAAAAACAGCAAGGAAGTTACATTTGACACACTGGAGTCAACAAAGGCACCGATGCAGGTTTCACATTTTCAAATGATTTGTCAATTTTAACAACACAAAACCAGCAATGTAAGCAACATGCAGAGCAAATTGACAAGTATGCCAGACTAGATCTAGGCACATACGTGCAGTTATCATCATGGCAAACTGAATTTTCTGCAATCTTTTTTCATTCTGTTTTTACTGTGAGATGCATTGATGGCTAAATCAGAAGGCACTTCGCCATCAAGTTCAGTGCCATTGCTAGAGACTGATATTTTAAAAAACATTTTTCGTAGGTCTTATAAGTGTTTTACGGCACTCGCAACTGCATAAGTCATATGAGTGCGAGGGACACATTAAACATTTTAAGTTGGTAGGAAATTTTGAATTTTGCTTGGGTGGCCACCGAAGCCTACTCTTATAAATTTAAGACCACCAAGGGACCTTTAATTTGCGCAACTTGCATACGCGACCTCCGAGATTTTTTCGCCCTTGTCCGAGAAGGCTAGGGGTAGATCTTTCCTACCAGAAGATCAGGGGTGTGGCTGAAAGACAGATGTAAGAAGGAGCCAAGGAGTAGCAGTAGAAAGCCTGCAGAAAGAGTCCGGAGCCCTAAGGAGGTAGGGGCAGAAAGTGGAGACGAAAGCAGACGAAAGAGAAAGTAGAATTTTAGAGAACAAAATTTTTCCGTCACTACTCGGATTC